AAGGGTGGTCGGTAAAATACGTAAGTATACAAAATGCAATAGCTTACGAAGGTAATTAAAAGGCGTACCTTAGTTCTCAACTCTAGTTTTGAAAGCTAAAATAACTTAATACAATATTTAAATTTTGTTACTATGCCTAAGTAAAACTAATCTAGGGAAAATCAGTGAAACCATTTTAGAGATTAAGGAAGACAAGTATGGTAATTTATTATATTTTATAACACCTACTCCGTGCAGGAAAATATATGTATAAAGAATTTCTTATATACTGAGAAAATTAATATAGTTTTAACACAAACTGGATTACGTATTTTTTACAATTTATACGTAAAACTTAAACTTTTTGCGTTGAAAACTCTTTCACTTCCAACTATATTATGTATCTGAAGCAAGTAAAATGTCACAACCCTTATCGATGAACTAAGAATGAAGGCAGTATCTAGGATCCGGTGTAGGTTTTCGTGTCACCCTGCACTTTACAAGTCTTTAAAGAGGCTCTCAACACGCCAACACAGAATAATCGATCGCTAAAAACATAAACTTCTTTAAATACGTCGTCTCAGGTCTCTAGAAAAATGGAATATGCAGCTTTCATAGGTAATACAACCAAAATGCAACTGTATTGAATTGTGGTAGAATAATTCAATATTGTATCTTTGGACTCCTAGGTTTACATTATATTTTGGCTGTAGCTATTAAAACCTTTTGAAAAGTCAGGTAACGTTATTTAATTTAATACAATCGAAAATCATAACTTTTCCTTAATTATTTAACAAGGTCATTATTCCAAATATTTGTTTTTACAAATTAAATTACAATTTTAGAATTTATATAATGTTGACTAACTTTATTGAGCTAGATTATCATAATTTAAACGTAGGGCACTAGAATTATTAATTTTGTATTTTAAGACTTAAATTCTAGTGTAATTGAACTAAGTTTGCTACTCAATGCTAGTACTCAATGCAAGTACTCAATGCTAGTACTCAGTGCAAGTAGTCAATGCTAGTACTCAATGCTAGAACACAATGCTAGTACACAATGCAAGTATTCAATGCTAGTACTCAATACAAGTACTCAATGCTAGTACTCAGTGCAAGTACTCAATGCAAGTACTCAATGCTAGTATTCAATGCTAGTACTCAATGCTAGTACTCATGCAAGTACTCAATGTAAGATTTCAATGCAAGTACTCAATGCAAGTACTCAATGCATGTATTTAATGCAGGTACTCAATGCTAGTACTTAATGCTAATACACAATGCAGGTACTCAATGCAAGTACTCAATGCAAGTACTCAATGCAAGTAATCAATGCAAGTACTCATTGCAAGTACTCAATGTTAGTTTTCAATGCAGGTACTCAATGCAGATACTCAATGTTAGTTTTCAATGCAGGCACTCAATGCATGTACTCAATGCTAGTACTCAATGCAAGTACTCAATGCTTAATTATAATTAAGGTATATTAAACTGGGCTTTTTAACCTAATGCACTCAATGTACTAATGTACTCAATGCAGATACTCAATGCATGTACTCAATTCAGATACTCAATGCTAGTACTCAATGCAAGTACTCAATGCAAGTACTCAATGCTAGTACTCAATGCTAGTACTCAATGCAAGTACTCAATGCAAGTAATTAATGCTAGTACTCAATGCAAGTAGTCAATGCAAGCACTCAATGCAAGTACTCAATGCATGTATTCAATGCAGGTATTCAATGCTAGTACTTAATGCTAATACCCAATGCAGGTACTCAATGCAAGTATTTAATGCAAGTACTCAATGCAAGTACTCATTGCAAGTACTCAATGTTAGTTTTCAATGCAGGTGCTCGATGCAGATACTCAATGTTAGTTTTCAATGCAGGTACTCAATTCAGATAGTCAATGCAGGTACTCAAAGCAGGTACTCAATGCAGGTACTCAATGCAGGTATTCAATGCAAGTACTCAATGCATGTACTCAATGCAGATACTCAATGCATGTACTCAATTCAGATACTCAATGCTAGTACTCAATGCAAGTACTCAATGCTAGTACTCAATGCTAGAACTCAATGCAAGTACTCAATGCTAGTACTCAATGCAAGTACTTAATGAATGTACTCCATGCAGATACTCAATGCAGGTACTCAATGCAGATACTCAATGCAAGAAGTTAATGCAAGTACTCAATGCAAGTACTCAATTCTAGTACTCAATGCTAGTACTCAATTCTAGTACTCAATGCTAGTACTCAATTCTAGTACTCAATGCAGGTACTCAATGCAAGTAATCAATGCATGTACTCAATGCAGATACTCAATGCAGATACTCAATGCAGATACTCAATGCTATTACTGATTGCAAGTACTCAATGCCAGCACTCAATGCAAGTACTCAATTCTAGTACTCAATGCTAGTATTCAATGGAAGTACTCAATGCAGATACTCAATGTTAGTTTTCAATGCAGGCACTCAATGCATGTACTCAATGCTAATTATTTGTATCTGCAAGTACTCAATACATTCGAGTAGTTCTACGAGTAGGATTCCACTTCATACACCCATACCCACACAGGTTTCCCACAGTCTTAGTTCATGTACAGTTGTGTTGATTGTTAATTTTATGTAACTAGGATTTTATTGGCAGTGACTTCAAAAGTGGATTAAAATAAGAATCTGTGGTTATTTAACCTACACTAAACTAGGTGTGCGTGTGATGATGATGGCGGTGATGTTGTTGTGATTGTGGTTATAGTGGTGGATGTGATTTGATTGATTGGTAAATGTAACTCTAACTGTTGAAATCAGTGATTTTCTGTAAACATTGATACTCAATGCAAGTACTCAATGCTAGTACTCAATGCTAGTACTCAATGCAAGTACTCAATGCAAGTACTCAATGAAAGTACTCAATGCTAGTACTCAATGCAAGTACTCATTGCAAGTACTCAATATTAGTTTTCAATGCAGGTACTCAATGCAGATACTTAATGTAAGTTTTCAATGCAGGTACTCAATTCAGATAGTCAATGCAGGTACTCAAAGCAGGTACTCAATGCAAGTACTCAATGCAGGTACTTAATGCAAGTACTCAATGCATGTACTCAATGCAGATACTCAATGCATGTACTCAATTCAGATACTCAATGCTAGTACTCAATGCAAGTACTCAATGCTAGTACTCAATGCAAGTACTCAATGCAAGTACTCAATTCTAGTACTCAATGCAAGTACTCAATGCAAGTACTCAATGCAAGTACTCAATGAAAGTACTCAATGAAAGTACTCAATGCTAGTACTCAATGCTAGTACTCAATGCAAGAACTCAATGCAAGTACTCAATGCAAGTACTCAATGAAAGTACTCAATGCTAGTACTCAATGCAAGTACTCATTGCAAGTACTCAATGTTAGTTTTCAATGCAGGTACTCAATGCAGATACTCAATGTTAGTTTTCAATGCAGGTACTCAATTCAGATAGTCAATGCAGGTACTCAAAGCAGGTACTCAATGCAAGTACTCAATGCAGGTACTCAATGCAAGTACTCAATGCATATAATCAATGCAGATACTCAATGCATGTACTCAATGCTAGTACTCAATGCAAGTACTCAATGCAAGTACTCAATGCAAGTACTCAATGAAAGTACTCAATGCTAGTACTCAATGCAAGTACTCAATGCAAGTACTCAATGCATGTACTCAATGCAGATACTCAATGCAGATACTCAATGCTAGTACTCAATGCAAGTACTCATTGCAAGTACTCAATGTTAGTTTTCAATGCAGGTACTCAATGCAGATACTCAATGCAAGTACTTAATTCTAGTACTAAATGCAGATACTCAATGCAAGTACTCAATGCGTGTAATTAATGCAGATACTCAAGGCAGATACTCAATGCAGGTACTCAATGCAGGTACTCAATGCAAGTACTCAATGCTAGTACTCAATGCTTGTACTCAATGCAAGTACTCAATTCTGGTACTCAATGCTAGTATTCAATGGAAGTACTCAATGAGAGTACTCAATGCAGATACTCAATGCAGATACTCAATGCAGGTACTCAATGCAGGTACTCAATGCAGATACTCAATGCAGGTACTCAATGCAGGTACTCAATGCAAGTACTTTATATGAATGTACTCCATGCAGATACTCAATGCAGGTACTCAATGCAGATACTCAATGCAAGAAGTTAATGCAAGTACTCAATGCAAGTACTCAATGCAAGTACTCAATTCTAGTACTCAATGCTAGTACTCAATTCTAGTACTCAATGCAGATACTCAATGCAGGTACTCAATGCAGGTACTCAATGCAAGTACTCAATGCATGTACTCAATGCAGATACTCAATGCAGATACTCAATGCTAGTACTCAATGCAGATACTCAATGCAGGTACTCAATGCAGGGACTCAATGCAAGTACTCAATGAGAGTTCTCAATGCAGATACTCAATGCAGGTACTCAATGCTAGTACTCAATGCAGGTACTCAATGCAAGTACTCAATGCATGTAATCAATGAAGATACTCAATGCAAGTACTCAATGCGTGTAATTAATGCAGATACTCAAGGCAGATACTCAATGCAGGTACTCAATGCAGGTACTCAATGCAAGTACTCAATGCTAGTACTAAATGCTAGTACTCAATGCAGGTACTCAATTATAGAATAATTAATTATTAAAACTCATTTTAAGTCAACTAAATCAATACTATTTATTTACAAGAACAAAACATAATGTAAACAAACCAAATAGCAGATGATTCATAACTTTATAACTCAGCTGATAATAATAATCCTACATTTCTCCCCACCCAATTTAGGCTGAGTTTCCGAAACTATGTACATCATCAGTTTCAGGTTCCATTTGCATTTTCCATTGAGGTGGATCAGTTGCACCTTCTCTTGCTCTCAGCTGGTCAGCGTGTTTTCTCTTTATATCTCCCCCTACTAAAACGGAGTATGACAGCTCTCCCGTCCTTTCTTGTACTGTTCCTGGTCTTCAGCCCTTCTTCGTTTCATTTTGAACCCACACTTCTTGTTTGGCAGAAAACTCCTTTTGTTTGGATTTTAAGTCGTGATAGTACTTCTGTCGCCACACTTTATTTTCTATTCTCTCTCTGCTATTATACCTCCACCTGTCCAAAGCTGTTGGTAATCTTCTACCATAGAAAAGGACTGATGGTGGTTGTCCTGTGGTCTTTTGTGGGGTATTTCGATAATCAAGCAACACTTGTAAAAGTGCAAGTGATGAACTGAGACCTTCTTGTTTGCAAGCACTATATCGACTCTTGAAGGTTCTGATAATTCTCTCCACTAAACCATTGGTTTTTGGATGATACGGCGCAGATGTAACATGACATATGTTATTGTCCTTACAAAAACTCTTAAACTCATGAGATGTGAAGGGGGTGCCATTATCCGATACAATTTTTTTAGGAACACCATACCTCGAAAACCAAGTCCTTAATCTATTTACAAGAGCAGCAGTAGTCGTACGGTCCACGAACGTAGTTTGTTCAGTGTCAGTCCATTTCCATTTAGTCTTCGTACCAGTCAGCTTATGCAAGTTCGAAGCGATCGCATGCAGATTAGGTATGTACCTTTCGTAAAAATTTAGTGCCCCTAGAAAGGCTCGCAATTCTTTCACGTTTCTTGGCCTTGGTGCGTGTCTTATGGTTTCAACTTTGTCTTCGGAGGGATGAATACCATTCCCATCTATTGTATGGCCTAAATACTTTACAGATTTCTGAAAGAACTTACATTTTGACAGTTTTGCTCTTATTCCACTTGATTCTAGCCGTCTCAAAACTTCTCTAAGAGTTGTTATATGGGTGGTCTTATCCTTACTAGAAATGATTATATCATCCAGTAGAACTCCGACATTAAGTCCTTTCAGTAAACTTTCCATGTACCTTTGAAATTTTGCTGGACTTGAGGAAAGCCCAAAAGGCAACCTTTTGTAGCGAAAGTAGCCTACATGAGTTGCTATCGTAAGATACTTTTGTGACTCAGGATGTACTTTCATTTGCAAGTACGCGTCTCGAAGATCTATGACTGAAAATATCTTTCCATCAGTTAATTTAGAAGTCAAGTCATCAAAGGTTGGCAAGAGGTGTCTCTCCGGAACGATGTTTGGATTCAAGGTTGTACGGAAATCGCCACAGATTCTGACTCTACCTCCACCCTTGTCTACGTTGACTGTTGGGGTACTCCATTCTATCGGTGTTTCGGAAGGGTCCACTGCTTCCAAAACTCCTTCCTGTACTAATCGCTGTAATTCTCTTTCCACTGCCTTCCTTAAGGGGAATGGAACTCGTCTTGCCCCGTAAGATACAGGTTTTGTTTCACTTTTTAGATGGATAACTTCATTAGAGTCAGATATCGTTCCTAGCTCATCACGAAAGAGTTCAGAAAACTCCTGAGTTAATGCCTCAACTTCTTTTTGTAACTCTTTTCTATAACTTTCTTCATTCTTGCCGGTCTCTTTACTATTTGTCTTTCCATTATCAATACGCCTAACCCTTACTTCCCTAGGCAAATTAAGATTGAAAGCTACACTCCACGGCAACCCAAATAATGGAACATCATCTTCTAGTAATACAATAACTGGCAATCGCTTAGTACGATTACGTAAAGTAACGTCCACAAAAGCCTTGCCCATGACTTCTAGCTTATTTTTCCCATAGCCAGTGATGACATCAGACGTCTTTTTTAGAGATTCGCCACTCGAATTGATCTTATCCCAAAGAGACAAACTTATAGCACTTACCCGAGCCCCGGAATCAAACTCCATTCTAACATTATACCCGTTCAATTCTACATCTATTGTAGCTCTCGGAACCTTACTCTTGACTGACCTAATTTGTGTTCCGCTAACATCAATATCAGAATTACACTCATCATCGTAAGTTTGATCACATGAACCATCTACTTTTCTCAAATTACCATCTGTTCTCTTGAAAAAGTTATTTTTACTTTTACACATTCTTGCGAAGTGGCCTCTCTTTGTACATTTCTTGCACACAGCAGAAACAGCAGGACACCTATCTTCACTTGGGTCATGTGTAAACCCACATCTATAGCACCTATTGAAACCAGTAGATTTCTGTACCTCTGGTTTCCTTTTTTCCTTACTGTCACTTACTTTAAAAATCTCATTTTTACACGAATGTTTAGAAACTTCTTCTCTCGCGCGTTCCATAGATTGAGCTAACTCTAGTACTACTGTTGACTTAACAAGCTCACCTCGGTTATTAACTCCCTCGGGCCATCTTTGTCTGACTTCGACTTCAAATTCTGGACAGTTGCTTCCTACTGCAAACCTATCTCGTACTCGTTCATCTAAGCTATCTCCATATTTACAACTTCTAGCTAAAGACTTCAATCTGTTATAAAACAAAATAAATGTCTCACCAACTTTTCTTATTGCTCTTTCAAACTCAAACCTTGTCGCAAAAAGGGTCCTTGTAGGCTTGAACAACCGGTTGGCTTCCTCCTTGACTTCGTCGTAGGTGCACTCCTCCCAGGCCCTTGGATACATCTGGTCCGATAGTGCCCTGAGGTGCTCCTCTCCGACATTTGCCAATAGAAGATCTCGCCGAGCCGCTTGTTCTTCTGTGTTAGCAACGCCCAGTCCCTTAACTCTGCAGGTCAACTCAAAACGAGCTATGTAGTCTTCCCACAATTGTTCACTATTATACTCTTTAAATGAAAATCTGCTCATTCTATCTTGTATGCAGGACATGTTACTACAGTCAATTACACTCTTATACTGTGACTGGTCTGTTTTCCTAGGCATTTTCTCGTCGCCAATATAGAATAATTAATTATTAAAACTCATTTTAAGTCAACTAAATCAATACTTTTTATTTACAAGAACAAAACATAATGTAAACAAACCAAATAGCAGATGATTCATAACTTTATAACTCAGCTGATAATAATAATCCTACATCAATGCAAGTACTCAATGCAAGTACTCAATGCAGGTACTCAATGCAAGTACTCAATGCATGTAATCAATGCAGATACTCAATGCAGTTACTCAATTCAGATACTCAATGCAAGAACTCGATGCATGTACTCAATGCAGATACTCAATGCAGATACTCAATGCTAGTACTCAATGCAAGTATTACTCAAAACCCTTTTCAGACAAGCCTTGCTTACGCTAAATTAAATTCAGAACTTCAACTCGTTGCACCTATATTTTCTAGGTTCACATCTTGTACACTCAGTCCCTCACAAAAAAGGTGTAGAGTGCATTTCAACTCAAAACGTTTTAGAATACATAATCAATGCTAGTACTCAATTCTGGTACTCAATGCTAGTATTCAATGGAAGTACTCAATGAGAGTACTCAATGCAGATACTCAATGCAGGTACTCAATGCAGGTACTCAATGCAGATACTCAATGCAGGTACTCAATTCAGATACTCAATGCTAGTACTCAATGCAAGTACTCAATGCTAGTACTCAATGCAAGTACTCAATGCTAGTACTCAATGCTAGTACTCAATGCAAGTACTCAATGCAAGTACTCAATGAAAGTACTCAATGCTAGTACTCAATACAAGTACACAATGCAGATACTCAATGCAGGTACTCAGTGCATTGAGTACTCAATGCAAGTACTCAGTGCAAGTACTCAATGCTAGTACTTAATGCAGATACTCAATGCAGATACTCTATGCAAGTACTCAATGCTAGTACTCAATGCTAGTACTCAATGCTAGTACTCAATTCTTGTACTCAATGCCAGTACTCAATGCTAGAATTCAATGCAGGTACTCAATGCAAGTACTCAATGAGTATTTAGTGCATTGTAATCAATGCAGATACTCAATGCAGTTACTCAATGAGAGTACTCAATGCAGACACTCAATGCAGACACTCAATGCAGACACTCAATGAGAGTTCTCAATGCAGACACTCAATGCAGACACTCAATGAGAGTTCTCAATGCAGATACTCAATGCAGACACTCAATGCATGTACTCAATGCAAGTACTCAATGCAAGTACTTAATGCTAGTACTCAATGCATGTAATCAATGCAGATACTAAATGCAGGTACCCAATTCAGATACTCAATGCAAGAACTCAAATGCAAGTACTCAATACAAGTACTCAATGCAGATACTCAATGCAGGTATTTAGTGCATTGAATACTCAATGCAAGTACTCAATGCATGTACTCAATGCTAGTACTCAATGCAAGTATTCAATGCTATTACTCAATGCAGATACTCAATGCAGGTACTCATTGCATTGAGTACTCAATGCAAGTACTCAATGCTGGTACTCAATGCAAGTACTTAATGCTAGTACTCAATGCATGTAATCAATGTAGGTACTCAATTCTAGTACTCAATGCTAGTACTCAATTCTAGTACTCAATGCTAGTACTCAATGCAGATACTCAATGCAAGTACTCAATGCATGTACTCAATGCAGATACTCAATTCAGATACTCAATGCTAGTACTCAATGCAAGTACTCAATGCAAGTACTCAATGCAAGTACTCAATTCTAGTACTCAATGCTAGTATTCAATGAAAGTACTCAATGAGAGTATTCAATGCAGATACTCAATGCAGGTACTCAATGCAAGTACTCAATGCTAGTACTCAATGCTAGTACCCAATGCAGGTACTCAATGTGAGCCGACCCCTCGCACCGCCCCCAGACGAACAACTATTGGAAGCATGCCCCCCATAGTGACAGTGCGAGTGGCCGCCCCACATCCCTAAAAAAAAATGAAAGGCCGTGGGTGAATATCAAAAAACAAACAGTTGTCAACAAAGCCTATATATTTACAAAAAAAATCAACAAATAACAAAACATCCATCCAAAGAATTTCTTAAAAATAAGCTTTCTCAAAAATTTAATTAAAAAAAAAATGATTTTAGGTTTACCCTTCTAAACTTACAAATACTGGTACCAGTAACAGAAAAATAGGCCTAACAACGAATAGATTAAAGACGGTAACAATTAATATTAAACCTTTAAAAAATCAACAATTAAATGAATAACAAGTGACTAAAAATAAGTAACAATGGTAAATAATTTGGGGGCCCCATTGATGATCAGTCCTTTTCGAAAAACTTTCATTAGGCCTAATTACAAATATAACTTGCGGTAATGGTCACTGGTCACTCTGGTCGCTTCAACTAGTGGTGGGTGGCGGTGGTGGTAGAAGGCGGATGGTGGCTTGAAAGTGTAGTGTGTCCCACTGGTCCCAGGAGCAGGGTGACTGGCAGCCCGAAGAGGGAGAAGGTGTAAGGTCTCCCCGGGCGACCCTCTCCGGAAGTGGCGGAACAAAACCTCCCATCCGGGACCCTTTTAACAAGTTCCAGGCCTAACTAATAAAAGTTCATGTAACTTGATTTTAACATTAGGCCTACCAAGCTTTTCAAGAAATGATTCCAAAAAACAATTTCCGTACCACTCGTTCACTGACCAAAACTATTACAAATGAGAATTTTATTAAAAATATTTTTCTTTTAATAGGCTTTCCTTTATAAAACAGTCTTTAAAATTAGAAAATGGAAAATGACTAGAAATAATTTAGTTCAGTTCAATAGAGCTCTAAAAACATAACAATAAATAGACTTTTAAATATTACTAACTTTAACAACACATTCTTACAGACATTTTTTCATAAAAATTTAAGTTGACAATAAAAAATATGAATTTAGGGTCCAGAAGGGTAATATACACTAGTAAAACACAAAACAATTACATAAATACTACAATAAATACTTCAAAAAACAGTTCTCACAAAATATTAAAAATTCTTTGGCTGGAGGTGCATTTTCGGGTAAAACCGGCAATAACTCCGGTTATTACCAACCAAATTTGCTCAAACAGCTTTTAAAAGTTGTGGCACAAGTGCCCGCAACTTTTAAAAGACAAACCCATGCCTACCAACTAGCCTGAGGCTAGGTAGGGGGTCATTTACCTACGGTCACTCAGCAAACAGAAATGCGCTAAACTAAAACTTAAATAACTCGGTCATTTATTATCCAAACTTAATGAAAATTGCAGGGGACAAGTAAAAGCACTAATACTAACTAATTATGACCGAGCTTGGCCCCCAGGAGGCGCCATTACTTAACTAAAAAAAATTAGGCTGAGTGACATGGCCTACATTACAAATAACAAAAAACACTATTACATGGGACAGAGGGACAAAATTTACATTAAACAAGTTGTAGGCCACAATAACAATACAAAATTGAGCACAAACTAGGCCTTAGGCCTAATTATAAATTAACAGGGACACAGAACAAACGGACCATAGCCCGCACAAAAGTGAGTTTCAAAGTGAGTTTTCTTGGGTAATATCTGGCCTAGAGTCTCGGGGGAAGCTTTGAAAACTTGACAACAACAAAAACTACAAAACTAACCAGAAAAACTTGTGGTTTGACCACACAAAACTTGGCCAAAGGCCCAACAAACTCTGTTCAAATCCAGCCTCAGAAATGGGTCTAGCGCCTTGAAAAACAAGTAATTGGTAATTAAAAGTAATACCAATGCACAGAAGGTGCTTAATACTTGTTTTTCACTAGCCAAAACCCACTCAAAGTCTGCACAACATGTGGCTGAAGGCCAAAACTAAATCAGAGACTTTCTAACCTAAACAAATCAAAATAATCAAACAACTTACTCATCTGACGACTGGCAAAACACTTAAATCATGACTTGAGTCTACGAAGAACGGATGAACAAAATTAACAGTGACATTGAAAGATTAACACTGATATTCATCGAAGATACCCAAGTCTTTACAAATTGACAATCGCCGGCCTTCTGGTGAAAATGTGACAGAAGGCGGACATTGACTCTGGGTTGCAGGTTTGCTGCCCGACCCAAACCGACTGAGTTCCGGCGCAAAGCCAGTACTCGCACTATAAAAAAAAACTGAGGCGTGACATTGGTGGGACGCTTGGTGGGCATGTCACGGCTCAACCTCCCCCCCCAAAGGAGGACTTCCTCTCCAAAAAAAAAAGAAAAACAACCTCTCCCAATTCTAGAAGATCTCAACACCACAGATCAACTCAAGTGTCTGAAGTGGGGAACGCCAAAAGTCTTTCAACTGGAGGGACTACTCACCCCCAGGGTTTGCACTGGCCAGTGCTGGAAAATTTACTAGGGAAAAATCTTCAGCAGCGCACAAGGGACAGAAGAGGTGATCAAGCTCTCTGGCCCAGTGCACTTCCCACTCAGACACAAGAGTAATGAAAGATGACCTACGGAATTGTTCCCCGGAAAGGCTTCAGATGAGAAATGTGAGCCCTCCGGAAAACTTCTCCAGTCTGCGGATCTCCCAGCCGCACGGAGACAGGAGTCAAGAACTTCAAGATGCGGTGGGGACCTGACCACCGATGAGACAACTTAGCGGCTCTCTTGTCCACGGCCGAACTGACCGGATGAGCCTTACAGAAAACCAAATCCCCCACCTGGAAAGGATTGTCCAACCGACCTCGATTGTGCTTCCTCCGGACCAATTCCCTAGCTCGGATCAAGTTCCTCCTAGCCGCCTGCCAAGTAGCCTTGACATTGGCAGCACCAGGGGGTGGCAGAAGGTCGCCAATTTTCCACACATTTGCCAAGGGATTATTGGGTGGATAGCCCAACAACAGCTCGAAAGGGACCGCCTTGTGACTCTCATGGTGTGCAGTATTGAAAGCAAATTGAATCCAAGGAAGTTCCTGATCC